AAAAGGAGTGCAAAGAGCATCAGCCATTGCAATCAGAATTATTCCACAATTTGCAGAGATTTTGGAGCTGGAGATGAAGCTTGGAGCTAGGGAGCTCAAGGAGGAAGACAAGGGCAACAAAGCAAGAAGTGGAAGAGATTTCCACCATTGAAGACCTTGAGCTCCCATGTTCACAAAATCTGTAACTTCTTTCTAGTTTTGTTTTGAGTTTGTATTTGAAATAAGTATGAGGAACTAAACTCCATAGCTAGGGCTTAGGTTGAAGCCCTAAACATGATTACCTTATTGTTTTGATACTTGAATGTATGAATTTCTAGATATTGTTGATGAATTCCAATTCACCAAATTAATCTATCCTTGATGTGTGTTTTCCTTGATTGATTACCTTTGAAAGCATGCTTCTTGAGGTTGTTGGGATTATGTGTATCTTCATGTTTTCCTAAGCAATAAATGGATGGAGTAAGAACCATCCATGTGAATTGGTTTCTTGAATACCTAATGTAAACACCATGCTATTAGGATTCTTGTGATGTTCATATTCTCTTTGAACTTAATGGGTTTTTCTTGTAATTGAATCAAAGTACTAAGCACACCTAGATTCGATTATAGGGAAGGCACAAGTATTGTAGCACTCGTACTGCACTTTACGTACATTAGAGAGAATCAATGCGTCTTGAGCCACTCGTACTGGTCTTGATTGCGAACATCTTCATCAACACGTTTAGAGTTCATCACTTGAGTATCCATGAACATGGGTAGAATTGTTTAGGGTGGATTCCGAAACCCTAGTGTTTGTTACATTTTAATTTCACATTTTGATAATTCATCTCTGCCATTCACATTTAAATTCAAAGTCCATTTACTTTCATGCAATAGAAATAGGTCACTTCAAACAAATCAAACCCCCCCCCCCAATGTGTGTGTGAGTTGCGTGTTTGACACATTATGTGTCTTTGTTACTGAATTTTATTTGTTTTTCGTAACTGTTTTGGACTTTTGGTCCGCGTTGTGTTCTTCGTTTTTGTGTGCTGAATCCAACCGTATAAAGAACGTGAATTTGGGACTTACGGTTGGAAAGTTATAGGCAAAACACTGGACAGAGGTCGAAACTGAAAAACAGAGAAAACAACTCTGCCCAAAAACGAGATTTTCACTGTTCACAGCACTGTTCATGGGTGATAAATAGGTGATAAAAGGGTGATAGAAAGTGCTGTTTGTGTTTTTCTTTATTTTCTTGTGTTGTTTCATTTCTTTTATCTTCCTTACTTCATTTGTAGTTTCCAATTTGTATTGTGTTTGTGTGTTATGTAAAATTAGTGTTCTTTACGTCCTCAAATTAGAACTTATAGGAAACCGACAAGTTCTTCGTGGGATCGACCCCGTACTTACATAATCTATACTTCATTAGATTCGTGCACTTGCGGGTATTTTTAATTGGTTGTTTGCACATTAATTTGTGTCTGTTCATTTTCACTGTTCACGGCACTGTTCACAGGTGATAAATAGGTGATAAAGGGGTGATAGAAAGTGCTGTTTCTGTTTTTCTTTGGTTTCTTGTGTTGTTTCATTTCTTTTACATTTCTTTACTCTTTTTTAGTTTCCAATTTGCATTTGTGGATTTGTGGTGTGTTAAATAAGTGTTCTTTACGTACTCAAATTAGAACTTATAGGAAGCCGACAAGTTCTTCGTGGGATCGACCCCGTACTTACATAATCTATACTTCATTAGATTCGTGCACTTGCGGGTATTTTTAATTGGTTGTTGCACATTAATTTGTGTCCTCTTAGGAATGCAACACTTGGCGACCATATATAATATGTATGGCATTAAAACATAGATGTTAAAATAGTATGTTTAATATAATTTCAATCATTTTTATCAATATCTTAATTGAAAAAATTATTTTCAAGAATTCAACCAAACAAGTTCTCGAACTTTTTAAGACATGTTGCATACTAAACAAATTTATGGATCTAAACAAATGGATTTTAGAACTCCTTGTTTTTAAGAAAAATAAAAGTTTTTGAGTTCCCTACTTCAATAGTATATGCCACCTTACGTCCCTCTTCCTCCTCTTCCTTTCATGTAAACTAATCCATAATTAGGAGGAATTGAATTGAGGAGGAGTTGGATTGAGGAGGGGTAGATTCTGGATTCCTATTGAAGTTGTTAACTAAACTGTATGGAATTAGGGTAAGAGTGATACTTGTTTATACCCAAAATGAACAGCCAATGAGAACGAGGCACGTGGAGGAAATCGAGCTCGGTCAGGGACGCCCTCGGCACCATACCTACCGATCGCTCCATTAGGGCAACATACTCTTCTGGGACACGTGGCACGCTCCCAAGCGACGTCCACAGTCCCACATCGAAATTATCAACAAAGTGCACACCTCCCAAGGCCTATAAAAGAGGCCAACTACCCCAAAACAGAGGTAATCAGAACTTACGACATACAAGCCTATTGACCTGTCAGTTGAACTTTCTAATCCCGAACTTACTTAAGCATCGGAGAGCCTTCGGCCGGTACCACACCGGTGCCCAAGGTCTTACCGAGCGTTTGCTACTTTTACAGATTGCTCTCCATACCGAGACCACAAGTATACCGAAGGCATAAAATTACTAAGTTGACCCTTAAAGCCTGTGAACCAGTTTTTGGCATCAACAATACTAATTCGTTATAAGTTGTTTACTAAATTAACATCAATTGGAATTCAAACCAAATTGATTACTAAAATGCCCTCGATTTTGTGTTAAAGTAGATGGCAAATTTGGAATTTTAAAATTGTGTGAGGATATAATGGGTAAAAAAGATGAATTCCTAATGGGTTAGTTCTCTAGGAATTAGAATACTACCTCCCACCTAAGAGTCCAATTCCTCTCAAATCAGGAGTTGAATTCCTGATTTTGTGTCAGTCACACTCACATTTTGATTCCTCCATGTGAAGTAAACACATGAGTATCTGTAATAGGAATTCAACTCCTTATTTTGATTTCGATTACGGATTAGTAAACATGTCCTATCTCTAGCATCACTCATTTCATTAATATTGTCTTATGCAAATGGATACGTTCCCCTACTTAATTCTCCCCATCACTTTCTTCATCTACCACATGAAGATCATTGGCTTGATATTGATTGGATTCTAAGGAAATTGTGTAAGGTATAACAAGAACCAGGAATACGTCTTTGTTTCCTAATTAGATAATTTGGGAGTAACTTCAGAATAGGAAAGCGAGCCTTAAGCACTCCAAAGCATCGTTCAATAATGTTACGTAGTGATGAATGCCTATAGTTGAATAATTTCATTTCCCCTCTTGGATGACTACCTCTCCCTTTATAATCATGCAACTGATAGGGCTCTCTAAAATATGGTGCAAGAAACCCGCACATATTTGCATAACCGGAATCAACAAGATTAATATTCCCCTTTCCATCCCCTTTCCATTGAGGGATCCCTCAAATTATTTGAGGGACACCCTTTAGGGTACCTTATGATTATTTTTTTAACCATCCAAACCGTCTATTTTTCAAGTCTTCATTCATAGATCATCCTTGCAAAAAATCAAACAAATTGATAATCATTAAGGCATCTAATTGCAAGCAACAAAATAGACGAATATTGTGCTTCAAGAAAAGACTAAAATAACAATAATCTAATTAAGTTGTCAAATGGTTTCGGATTCAAGTGATCTTTTGAGAGATAATCTTTGAGGGAATATATAAAGATTAGATAGTTCAGATCATTGAAAAAAAAATGTATGTTGGGCGATAATGTCCTTCATATTTGAAGAATCTCTCAATTGAAGCTCACTTTTTTTTTAAATTTTATTTAAAGCTATCCTTTCTATCTTTCAAATCCATTTTAACATGGCATGAAAATGATGAGTGATTTCCACAAGATGGCTTTCTGCTTTCAGCAATAGCAATGAACATATTAGAAGACTTCATCATTGGCCTAATCTTGTATGGGGCATTCTGGACACAAATGTTAGCAATTAATAAATAAATAAATAAAAACAGAAATCTAGTTATTTTACTAATCCAAACTAGCCTAATCTAATCCTCCCTATCAAACATGACCTAAGTCCACATATGAAGTTCATATATGAAGTCTTTTGAACATTCAAAAGATAATTTGCCCTTTGACAAAAAAGAAAAAAGAAAAAGAAAAGGTAATTTGCCCAAATTATTACCACCGCCTAGCTAAAGGCAATCGAAAAAGAAAAAAAAGAAAAAAAAAGAAAATGGAAATGTTGGAAAAAAGAAAATGGAAATGGAACAATTCTTGGACTGAACTTAAAGTCTCCAAGTACAGATAGATAGAGAGATACTCTCTACGACCCTCTTTCCCTTCTCATTTACTCGTTTCCCAACGAATATGGCCAAATCCCTCTTCTCCACCACCTTCTCTCCAAGGTAAACTCCTCCTCTCTCTCTCTCTCTTTCATAATATATACAGACATGTATGGTGAGCTGAGGTGCTTGTTGACGAATTGAGATTTGGTTGTTTTTCTTAGCCTTTAGTCTGAAATGAGCGGGTCGTCGGTGGGCAACGGAGGCCTCGCGCCGCCTTTCACAGTTGCGCAGTGGGCGGAGATGGAACATCAAGCTTTGATATTCAAATATCTCAAAGCTGGGCTGCCTGTTCCTCCTGACCTCCTTGGTCCCATTCGCACCAGTTTCAACCTCATATCTTCCAATTTCTTGCGTCACCACCCCACCTGTATGCTCCTTTACTTCTATATCTCCTAAACGATTCATTCGTGGTAGTTTTTAATTTTTAATAAATTGATTGTTTCTATTTCATGGGCATGCTCTTATTTTGAAGTTTCACATAATTTGAAAAATTCAGTATGTGGGTTGTGTAGAAACTGTCTTTTACATGAAATTAGAAAAGAATGAAATTCAAATGAGCCTTCTTTGTATGCTTCAACTTATCCAGGTTGTGGGTTGGTTATTACTTATTAGGATGCAATCTGATGAGAATGAGCTGTGTAGCTTTTCTTTCTAGTCTCAGAATACAGCAAATGGGTCTATCCAGTTTGTTAACATGCTTATGCTCGTGGTATATTATCTTTGTTGTATCTTTGAGATTTTCGTTATAGGTAGGTAACTTTTATCGATCTGTTGCAGTGGGTTATACTTCCTATTGCGGTAAGAAAATAGACCCCGAGCCAGGGCGTTGCCGGAGGACAGATGGCAAGAAGTGGAGGTGCTCCAAAGATGCACATCCAGACTCCAAGTACTGTGAGCGGCACATGAACCGAGGTCGCTATCGTTCAAGAAAGCTTGTGGAATCACAAACTACCTCTCAATCTTCATCAACTGTGACGTCAGACAGTGTGATTGGGAGCTCTAGCCACAGTGGGAGCTTCCAAAACATGCCCTTGCATTCAATGGTAAATAGTGGGGGTCTATGCTTTGGAAGCAATGTATCTCAGTTGAAGATGGAGCCTATACCCTATGGGATAGGTAACAGTGGAAACAGGTATATCAGTACATTATTTGTGTATTGATTGAATTGCCATGACTCATGAGTTTGCAATAGGAATGAACTTAAACTTCACAACACAAGAAAAAGTCTTTCTTGTGCATAATATTTGTTTAGAGTTCTAAATTTTTATTATCTTGAACTGAATACTCATCTTCCTTGTTGATGGCTGGCTACTTCCTGAATATCAGTGATCAATGCCTAAGATGTTAAAAAAAAGAATTTCTTCAGGTTATGCCAAACACAGTTGTTGGTTTTTTTGTACTGGACTTGGATTATGCTTAGCAATTTACTGCTGTAGGTTTACATCTTAAGAAGATATTTTCGAGACATAATGTTTCTGACAACCTCAGCTGATCGAAGGCATGCTAAACAAATGCAACAAAGCTTTTAAACATACCAGTATATAGAGGGAAATTTGAGTTGATGAGTTAGAGTAGTTAGTAGATTCTGGATGCCAATACCCGTGTAGCAATAGGCAGGGATTTGAAAGGAGGGGCTGGCTCATGATAATCACCCAAGAGACATCTAAGGTGTGTTTGGGTGACGAATTTTGAATTGTATAAATTTCAAAATGAAACATTTGGATCGAATAATCAGAAGAAAGCCAAGACATTATGGGGGTGCTTGTTCTTGACATTTTGCTGAAACATTTGGATGGAGCGTAATAGAAGAATGTTTGAGGATTATAAGGGTGCAGGGGTCTGGGACAGAGTGAGGTTCTGTGCAGCGGTTTGGATGATTTTAGGGATTATTGTCATTTTTCTATAATGTCGGATTTGTTAGCAGCTGTGAAGTGAGAGTAGATTTTTCGAATTTTGAGCTTTTTCTAATGCAAGACAATGATATTATGAAAGCCTTAATAGGAGATATGATCATAAGATGAAAAATTAGAGATATAAGTGTTAGGATTTTGGCTCGTCAAATATGTCCTAGTTGGTTTAGGATTGCTTTAGGAAAATTAGAGGTATTCTTGTCCTAGAGGGATTAGGAAAGAATTTCAGTTTTCCTTATTCAATTCAGGTTTGGATTTCTAGAAGCCTATTTGGTTTTGGATAAGTGTAATTTCCTAATCCACTTAGGAATAGGAATTCAATCAGCCTTGGGACATGTAAGCCAACTCTATATCTATAAATAGGGTGTGGCAAGGCTTATTTTGAGAGAGGGAAAAACAGCCAGAGACAGCCAAGAGTTTTGAGATTAGTTCTAGGGTTTGCAAAAGTTCTGTAATCTCTATTATTAATCAAAGGAGCGGTGATTTCTCTACCTAGAGAAATCACAACTGGACGTAGGCAAAAGTTCTGCCGAACCAGTATAATTCTTGTGTGTCTAAGTTTCATAATATTTGCTAGTTTAGTCTATTGCCGTTGGTTACATTAAAGAACAAGATCCAACAGCGGGTTATTTAACAATTGGTATCAGAGCCAGGTTCAAGAGTTCTAAGACAATCGGTACAAGACCTTTTACCTTTCCAGACTGCAATAGGAACGCCAGGGATTGGCAAAGGAACACGATTTTCAGCTGTCGAGGAGAGTGGTGGAAGATGCAAGGTTGGTGCTGGATCTGTGATTGGACTGAATGGAAGATGTGAACACTGTCTGTGTTTAGGAACATAGACCTGTCGTGATGAAAGAATGGCCAGAACATGAGTGGGTTGAACACACTCTTGAAGCAGAGCCTCCGCCAATTTAATATGTTCCATAGTTGAATAAGTTAAGAGGGAGTAATCTCATCATATAAGAATTTTTCTCAAAGTAGTACCCTTTCTGAGTACAAGAGTAACCAAGAAATATGTAATTGTGTGATATGATAGGGATAAATATCTTAGGCGGGATTTTATTTTCAATGCAAGTTTTCAAGATTGCTGAAGGTGTTTCAGGAGGTTTTGAGATGGTCAATGTATGTGCAAATGCACTTACATTTGTCTAATTCCTAAGACACTCCACTCACTGAAAGTTAGGGATTAAGACCTTTAATTTTGTTCACCAGCCTTGACAAGATTCTATCTAAGATTTTATTCTTCAGATAGAGAGAGGCTCTGGGTGATACGATTTCAATTTTTTTAGGGTCGTTTGTGATGCAGGCTAGATGTGTTAAGCTACTGTCCATTGGAGTAACAGTGCAATACCACAATAGAAAAGGGATTTCCAGGAACAAACAACAGAAAAAAGAGATAAAAGGCAATATGATTAAAGTTGGAACGTCTATAGATGACTTTTAGGGAAAAAGATTGAAGGAACTTTATATCTATTTTACAAAGACATTTAACATAGTATTTACACTAGGGTTACAGTAGCCATAGCATCCTAGCCCATGATTACTTAAATAACTATTAAAGCCTAACCCTCCAAAGTACTTACAAATCGTATGACTACTTAAAAAGACTAAAGAGTATAACTATCATTTCACCAAGCCAAATGACACATAAAATTCAAACAAGACAAGGAAAAGAACCAAATAACACATAACTATAAAACAACACAACTAAAACCTTAAACTAGCTAGAACCCAAGCTAAGAACCAAGTTGGCTAGCATGCCCCCTTAGTATTTGAGAGCCTTGTGGATGCTCCTTCATCAGTTTGTTCAAGGTAGACAGATTTTGTTTGAGTATTGGTATAAACCCACTTTAAAATTGATTTCGAGAAAGCCTATGATTATATTGATCATGATTCTAACATATTGTGCTTAGGAAATATTCCAGGAGTACATGGAAAAATGCATTAGTTGGTGCCTGAGCTCAATCAACTTTTAAGTAATCATTATTGGCAGACCTAGGAGCAGGTTTAAAGATTTAGGGGGTTGGTGGTTAACCCCATCCATTTCTTTTTACCCTAGTGGTTGATGTATTGGGTATGTCTCTCGGGGCAGAGACTTTGGTTTGATTGAGAATGACGGGGAGCGAACACAGGTTAAACTTGTCCAAAAGTGTTGTGGTTGGTATCAATGTCGAGGAAAGGTTTCTGTGGTCCTTGCTACGGATGTTAGTTGCAATACCAATGTGTAACCTGTGCTCTTTGAGCTTTTGGACTTGATGGAGTTTAGATAGGTGCAAGAATGGGCGTGCCTAAGAATATATATATATATATATATTTTTTTTTTTTTGGAGTGGGGCGGGGTTGTCAATGATTGGAAAGTTACTGTGTAGCATGCATTCAAGGTTTGGAGTGCAATCTAGTGGGTGGGACTCCAGGATTGTGGAGTGAGGTTTGTTTCATTGTCCTTGGAAATTCATCTCATACAAGTTTCTTCTTTTGCCTAGATGTCTAAGTTTGTAGGGTGGAGCAGTCCTAATACTGCTATCTCATCTGCATCCCGGCTATCATCTTCACCTTTTTCGTGGGATATGACTTTTAGGCATAATTTCACTAAGAGGATTGTTTTGACTTCTGTCCAGCATAGTAGAAACAGGTCAAATGGGCTAGTCCAGGCCACTAGTGGCCCTGGATTGGGCTGGGAAACTGCCCACTGGGCCCATGGACTGCGGAGCATTTGATGATTGTGACTTTTTTATAATGACTGTAACCATCATTGTAATGTGGATGCTGATGGATAATTCTTTGTACCTTATCTTGAAAAATTTCTTAAATTGCATCCATTTCATCCCTTTAGGCTTTGAAACACCATCTTGGTTATAATTATCATCGTTTGTTTTTCTATTTTCTGGTCTCCTATGTTAAAATTTCTTGTTTTTCTGAGATCTAGTTATTGGGAAAACAAAGTTATGAACAATGAATTGCTAGCACTGGTTACTTTGTTATGATGTCCAGGCATTGTAAGCTGTTGTACCAAAGCAGTAAATTGGAAGGATGGTATGTTCCTTTCCTTTGTTAGAAGGAAAGAGAGTAGAATAAGAGAACTGAGGGTCTACAGGGGGAAGATTTTTGGGCTCGCAATATTTTTTTCTACCTAAGGAATTGGATGGAAATTTAGAATGACAATTGTATATTCACAATAGTAAAGAAAGAGAAACAGTTTTTTATTTTTTTCAAAGGGTACATAAAGAGAGTTTTTGATATACGGTTAGAAATACATCTCTTAGGCATATGCTATGAATTTTACTTATGTTCCTTTGGGAATTGATTCTAAGAACCAAATGGGTGTTTTGATCTGATGGCAATGCAGGGGGTGCAACGGAGCAGAAGAGCACAATTTCATGTCAGAACCTTCTGGGAGTGTGAGGTGTCTTGGGATGGACAGTACTGTAGACAGTCCATGGCATCTTATGGTGCCTCGAGTTTCCTTGAAATCTGAACCAAAAAATTGTTCTCTTTTGCTAAACAACAGCTCCCAGCTAGAGACATTGCAACATACTGAACCATTGACCGTTGATGCTGCCATCACTAAACAGCAGCAACATCAGTATGTCGGTGGACAGTTTGGCTTTCCAGGTTCTCTAAAACACGAACAGAATTCGCTTCAGCCTTTCTTCGATGAGTGGCCTAAGTCGAGGGATCTTGGGTTCCATCTAAGTGATCATAGATCCACCAATACCTTAACTGCAACTCAACTGTCAACGTCTAATGCAATGGCCCCCTCCAAATTCTTCGCAAGGAGTGCTGACTCACCTACTGGTACGCTCTTTTTCATCTAGAAAATCTTGTGGATACCCTCCATCCCCAAGACCGAGGAAAATTTTAATAATTTGATTTACATGATGATGCAGATGCCTATAGTTGAACCTGTGAGTTGTTTGCGCATTCTGTTGTATCAGTGTACTCGGTGCAGTTCCCGCTTCCCATGTAACTTTTAACTCTTATTTGACACGCTACTGCTGGGCTTTCGTATGTTTGTATTTCCACTTGACCGTTATGGATTAGATAATGAGTTTTAGACGTGCTGGAGCATGATTATATGTCTAGTTCTTGCCTCCCAGCAATGAAACTGTATTAAGCGAATGTTGCCCTTTGTTTTTATATTTTTTGTATTTGCACCTGTCACCCAGTTATGAATGTGGCTTTTATGGCTTTTGTATGAGGTTTGGACAATGCACTTGTCAGTCACTTAGTGGGGCTGGTATTAATTTCCCCAAATTTCATTACCAAAACTATTAAAAAAAGAAAAAAGAACTACTTCCGTGTTGTAAAATGAATGGTATATGCAGGAATATTGAGCTGCACGTAAAGTAAATAAAACAGGATATTTAACGAGGTTCAGCCATGCCTACATCCTCGGAGAGCAGTAGTAGTAACTTTTCACTATGTAAAATAATAGGGCTACATCTTTAGTGTTTACAATCTCACTGGATCACTAATTTTTCTCTCTGCTCTCTCCTCTCACTCTTCCTCTTTCTTCCTTCTTTGTTGGGGCTTTCTTTCTTTCTCACTTGGTGTGCTCTCATCTTTTTTCCTGGAGATATCCATTCTCTACTGATGGAGGTGTCTATTTATAGGCCAAAATATTGGTGGTTCACTCACAAGCATTTGGCTTCACTCGAATGTTTGGCAGACAAGCATCATCATTATTCTTCAATCAATTAGGTAGTGAGCTCTACCATTTTGGGCTCCATTCTTAACTTTACAACACTCCCCTTTGGAGACCACAAATGATATGTCGGTTGCCTCATTAAAATCTTGCTTGAAGAAAACCCAATGAGGTAGAAAACTAATGGAAGGAAGAAGAGTACATTAATCAGTGTAGCATACTTCTGGATGCTCCCCTTGATGAATATCTCCTCTTGAAATCTTTATGACTAACTTTCTGGAGGGAAAATCTTTCGGAGTGAGTAGAGGATGTAGCCATTAAAAATTACTTAGTTGAGTAAATAAATGTATTTCCATTGAGCTATCTCTATGTAAATCATAGAAATTTCCAGAGTCCGCGTATCCAACAAAACCTGGGCTATTTGTAAGTTCACTTGAAAAGAATATACCAGTATATGGTGTTATGCAAAGATAGCATAAAAAATGCCTCACATCATCCCAAAGTAGTGGTGATGGAGCTAAGCTTTATATGGAAAATACAATGTCTGGTCCAGTATACTTTCGGAAAATCATTTAGGTGCCCAACAGATAATCCATATAAAAATGCTTCAATACTTTTTTAGTATAAGCAAGAATTTCATTGGCATAATGATCGATCTTTAGGTTGAGACAAATATTTATTGAACTCTTTAAGAGTTTTAACCAAGTATTAACTCTTCACGAGTTTTGATCGATTATCAACTCTTCATGAGTTTTGATCAATTATCAACTCTTCAGGAGTTGTAATGTGTTGCAACCATATCATAATTAATGTACTCACTGAGGCAACTTGTACATATTAGTATTGAGTACAGATTAGTACAACCATATCATAATTAATGTACTCATTGAGGCAACTTGTACATATTAGTATTGAGTACAAATTTTGTGCTTCAGGCACATGTCCTTCAGGGACTTGCTTCATGCAATTTCAATCCTTTCAGGGATTTTGTTTAAGGGATTAAACTTTATGATACATTATATAGCTTAATATCCAGCTATTTGTTCTGCTTGTACATCTTTAAGGAATCGCTTCTGGTGATATGCTCCATGCATTTAATAACCCTTAAAGATAACATGTTGGTCTCCATAAATGTGCAATAAAAAGGCACGATTGCATCTGTAAACATGAAGAAACCCAACATTCTTGTTTCTACTAGAAACATTGTGTTATATAAAGTGAGTATATTCCTCTTTATTTCAAACACCCATGTATAACCTTCAGGGTTAACATCTGGGGTTCGTACTATGGGTTTATTCTTTCACGTTCATTCTCATATGTAATGGAATTGCCTCTTTCCATTTTTGGCCAATGATATTGTCGACATTTAATAATAGAACATGGTTCCAATTAACACAACCCATTGATGATTTGAGTAGCTACTCCAAAACCAAAAATTGTCATGATCTCACCATTCTCAGGTGTATGCGCATGCATCAATTATAAGCATTTCTTTGCTTTTGGGTACCCAAGCCACTTCAGGGGCTTTTATTGTCTCTTTCCAGACAGACATCTCTTATAAGATGAATTATGTGAGAATGTGGATCATAACCTCCAATGGAGCATTATTTTACAGTAGGGCGTGGATAATATCCATTCAAGGAGTTGGAACATTTATAACCCATATATCTGTTATGCTGCAGGCATGCCACAGATTAGTACATACATGTCAATTAATTGTCCTTCTGGGACTTTAAACCATATAATTTGCTATGCATTAGGCGTGCACCGTTTTAATATTGACATGTTAATGGATTGTCTTTCCTGGACTTCAATCCATATCATTTGCTACGCAACAAACATGCATCATATTGATCACTGCTATACCCATGTTATGTTCTTATGGGACTTTAATCTATGCAGCGTATTATCAATGCATCCAACTTGCAATCTGTGAAATTTGCATTAATAATTCATGAATACATATCAGAATGATACAAGCCATTCTTATGGAATAGTCATAATACAAGTCGTTCTTCTGGAACGATCTATAATGCAAGTCATTCTTCTGGAATGGTCCTTTGCATGGCGTTCTTCTAGAATGGTTTTATCTCCCAATTTGGTTATCGTTCAAGATGTTGTACAAAATATCAAAATAAGAGTACAAGCATGAAATAACACAAATATTTCTTACATCCTTAGGTGGGAGAAACTTTGCTCAAATATCAATCAAGCTTGTATCGGCTCAGCAAATATAATGTAACGTTTGATGATCTAGTTATATATTATAAGAGCAAAAATCACAATTCTTTTGTCTCTGTAAAAAAAAAAAAATAACCCTCAATGTTAGGTTAACTACATGGATTTTTTCTTCAGATGGTGGTTCTAAAGAAACAGAGAGTTATAAAAAGAAAGAAAAGATACAAAGAATTGTGATATTGATTGCAAGGTAAGTAAGAAATCGGGGAAGGAAACTAGTGAGGTAACAGACAACAAACTCTCATTTCTCCTAGCCTAGAAGAACTTCAGGAGATTAGAGCATGTGGTCGTCCTTAGTCTGTCTTACAATTCCCTGACGTCACCGAAACGTGATTAGGGATAGTCTCACTTCCTGAATGGATGATTAGAGATAGTCTCGCTTCTCAAGCACATCGAGCGTTCAATGATAGGAAAAAAAAGTGGATATTGCATCACTTATATGGAGAAAACAGGAGAAAATTGGATGTATTCTGCAAAGAAATTTCGTTAGTAACATATTTATACACAAATTAGAGGAACAATTTGATCCGGTGAATCTCAAATTAACTACAGAAAATTATGAGGTGCTCGAGATGCTTTTGAAAAAGTGACTCCTTGAAATCCGTAAAAGCAAGATCGGCTTTGACAGAAAAAGTCCTTGAAACCCCTAAAGTGCCGACAAACATTAATGGAGGTTGCATGAAGCTTTGAAATCTGGAAAAGAAAAAGAGAATATGGGTATTTGAGAAAATATTGAGATCCTGAAAACGTTGCCACATTTCCGTCTATAGATATTTCCTTTGTAAGGCCTGATTGGAGTAACTGCATTTCAACTCAACTTCCTTCCATTTTCTGAAAATTCAGCTTTTCTAAGACTTTCCTCAAAACCTTTTAAAATGGCTTCCTCTTCTTCTCGCCTAAACCGTTTTGATTTAAATGTTGCTCCCAAAACAACTCGTCACGCTAAAGTCTGGCGTCCATCCTTTGTATCCCAAAATCGTCATCTCACAGTTAATGACTCTGTGATGATGAATGATACGACTGCTATCATAGTGGCTAAAAATTTCCTTACTCCTATGGATGAAGTACTATTAACAGAAAGGTCCGAGGAAGAGGCTATTGATGACTCAATGGCTTTTAGCATTCAGAGTGCTGCTTCTGTTTCTAACATTGCTAATCGTTTGCGTGCCCGAGCAAACTAGATTCAGGAGTTGAACACTGAAAATTCGTCTCTTCGGAGAATGCTTCATGAGTCTCACTACGTAAAATAATAGGGCTACATCTTTAGTGTTTACAATCTCACTGGCTCACTGATTTTTCTCTCTACTCTCTCCTCTCACTCTTCCTCTTTCTTCCTTCTCTGCTGGGCTTTCTTTCTTTCTTTCTCACATGGTGTGCTCTCATCCTTTTTTCTAGAGAGATCCATTCTCTACTAATGGAGGTGTCTATTTATAGGCCAAAATATTGGTTGTTCACTCACAAGCATTTGGCTTCACTCGAATGTTTGGCAGACAAGCATCATCATTATTCTTCAATCAATTAGGTAGTGGGCTCTACCATTTTGGGCTCCATTCTTGACTATACAACATTCCTCACCAACCGATCAAGATCTTAGGTTCTTTTCTTTTATTGTGAAGTAAAACACAAGTGTCATTGTTTAATGGCTTAATTATCAATATGCCCCCTGTACTTTACCGAAAATCCCACTTTACCCACTACAATTCAAATTGGGTCACTATGCCCCCTATGCTCACCTTCCGTGTCTCACATTACCCTCATTTGTCATTTCGTAACAAGATGCGTTAAGTTTACTTAGGTGGCATGATTAGTTTAGTAATTTCATCCACGTGGACAGGTGTAGGTTACGATGTGGCAGGCGTCATGGCATTTTTTTGGACCCCTCATCAGATTGAGGCTTAATAATCGAAATTGAGTATATGGGGCTGTGCAGTCGAGTTAGGGTTCAAAAAATTAGGGATCTGGTGCAAAATATTGAAGCCAACAAATTTGGGAATGTCATATACAGTTTTAAAATACTTGAAATTGGAGTCAAATCTTTGAATGGGATAGAAAAGGTAGGCTTTTTGTGTTTGAATATTGGTTAAGTTGAATCTGCTAAAAGAATTTGGGTATACTTTCACTTGAGATTAGGGGCAAGAATCATTGAATATTGCTTCGTGTTGGACTTTAAGGCTACAGCTTGAGTTGGTGTAACCATGACTGTGCTTAGAGAAGTTGGAGATGTTCAACCCGAGTGTAAGTGGACCCTAAGTTCACTACTTTGTCAGATTTCTACATTGTGCTTTTGGATGTTTGTTATTGTATTATT